TTCCTGGAATTCTGTGCCTTTTCAGCGCAAATTTTAAACCCTTCTCAACGTTCCTGTGGTGTCAGCTGGAATGAAATGGCCCATCTGGGCACAAAGCTGTTCAAAAGGGCGAGATTACCTTGCATCAAAAAGCATTTTGTGCTTTAAAAACTGAAACATTTGTTCCTGTGCAATCTTTAGTTCAACTGTCTGATTTCAGAACCCATCCAATGAAAGTATTGCCCCAAGCAATTGCATAAAACACATTAAGTTGCCATAAAATTGGCATTATTCTTAGTTTGACACTGAGCTGAACTGAAAATTCCTTATCTCCTATGAGAATATACAGTTTCTTGACCTGCACCATTCATCTGAGGGATAATAATACTAATACTAATACTAATAATAATATTTCCAGGATATTTTGATATAAACTATTAACAGGTTATGATTGCTGGGGACATGGGTCAGTGGTGGCCTTGGCAGTGCTGGGGGAACACTTAAACTCCATCATCTTAAAGGTCCTTTCAACCCAACAATTCAGTGATTCCAGAATCACCACAGGCACCAACAGCAAAAAAATCAGGGAACCAGGGTTTATTATTACTAGATCATTATTTAATGTTATTATCATTGGTATTTATGTGCAAAAAGGTCAAGGGTAGCTGATCTTTCCTGAGAACAGGGACATCTATCAAGTCTGGTGTTCCACTTCTCAACTAAACCCCAGTTACAAAATACAAAATACTCTCAGTCTCCAACACGTGAAGTAGTTAGAAGGAACTAGCCTGATAATGAAAATGTTGTTTGGTATTCCTTGAGAGCCAATAAGGATTTTTTATGCACATAAACAGATTTATCCATTATTATTTCAGTTGTTGGACTTAAGGCCAATGCTCAGACTACAATTCAGAGCATTCTGAGGAATCACAGGAATTTTTTTGTAGTTGTGGCATCAACATATTCTAGGCAATTCTTTAAATAAAAATGCTGTTTATTTTTCACTTAAAAATTCTAGGCTTTTCTAAAATTTTGAACTACCAGGAAAACAATGATTCTGTGGAATTAGTCTAAGACAAAAAACTTTTTGTCCCAGATCCTGCAGGAAATATTCTTGAGCTACCCAAAAAGAAGATAAATCAATTCTTCATATTTTAAACTTTTTTGGCTTGAAACTTTTTTTGGTGGGTGGCTGTGATTTCATCAGCAAACTTCCCTGCATGACCAAAGGCAAGAGAAAGAGCTCCAGATTCCTGCACTCAGCAGTTTTACACAGAACAAGGAGATGGAGCAGGACGAGTCCCAACCTGCTGCCCTCGTGTTTCCACTGAGTGAGAGTTCCACAGGCTGCTACTGTCACTTCTTGCCTTTTATGTGCTAAACCTTCACTCCTGCCAGCACAGCTAAACCATTCCTACAAAATAACAGCGGTAAAATGTCTATTTTTGTTCTAGGCTCAGGTTTTTGGGCTTAGCACAGCAATGTCTGCCTGCCCCAGGACACTTTTTAAAAGAATTAAATCCATATTCAGTGTCAAAAAGCCAACTGAACACTGCTAATTTTGTTTCTTGTAACACCTGGGAATGTCAGTCATTTCTGGGTTTCCCTTTCCTGCTCTGTGAAAAAATATTTAGTAACTTTTACGTCTACATATTTCTGGAGGACAAATTTTAAATACACAAGGAAAATTCTCCACTGAAAGGGTGGTCAGGCATTGGAACAGGTTGCCCAGGAAAGCGATGGAATTACTATCCCTGGAAGTGTTGAAAATCAAAATTCAAAAGCGTGGATGTGGTTCAGTGCTGGGAACTGAGCTGGATTCCATCATTTGGGAGGTCTTTTCCAACCTGAAGGATTCTGTGATTCCAACTTACATCACCCACCCACACCCCTTCAGACTGGAGATAAACCCTCTATTCATATCTCTGAAGATACTCCCCAAGTTTTATGAGTCCTGTCAGCACTAAACTTGAGGAAAAAAAAACCTGTCAGAGATGGCAGCGCAAAGGATTTTCCTATTGTTTTCATTTTAACACTGGTATTCCCAGGAGGAGAATTCCACTACTTGTCTTTGTCTTTCAGTGGTTAACTGTGCACGCTGCAAGCGCTAAATTTTCATTCTAATTCTTCATTGCTCTTTTAAAAGAACAGAAAGTTCCCTTCCAGAGCTCCAAATAAAGCCACACCTGGCTCTGAATGGGTCACATGTTTGCTTGCCCTCCTCTGCATCCACAGCAAAAATTCATGGATAGCTTTCCTTTGCTGAAGTGTAATTTGCAGTGCTAAAACTCACTTTATTACATGGCAGTAAGACAAAAAAAACAACCCTTGGGTATTATATTCAAAACATGTGATGGTTTTAAGCCATCACTCCCATTCATTTCCACACAGACACTTCTAATCCCTCTTCAGGAATCAGCAGGATGTTGTTTAGTGTCATTTCTAACAAGCCAAAGTGCAAAATGGCAGCAGGGAACAGACAGACTTAAACATCATCTCACAACAAGTCAGGAGAGAGCAGAGGATCCAAAGTGAGTTATCATGAGTCAGGGATTTGAAACTCTTGTAAATAATGCAAATTTAATGCAACAGATCTGCATCCAGGGCTGCTTGCCAGGCAGGAGAGCAGTGACTGCACTGAGAGGAGCTGCAATTTAAAACTGACATGGTATCAACATGCATCACATCAATAATACTCTACACCATCACTAATGTCTGCCTCCCTTTCTACTTTCCATTTGAAATGGGATGAACCTCTGGAAAAAAAAAAAAAAATCCTGGTGTATAAACAAAGATGTCACGGATGAAGAATCCCCACTGTCACCATGAGAATTCGAATATTGATTATTTTCTCTGGTTAAAACTCCCAGGGCACGATCTCTTGATGCAAAGGGAAATCTCCAGACACAGTGGTGCCTTTTGAGTGTAGAATCAGGGAATTAGGGAATGTCCTGAGCTGGAAGGGACCAACAGGGATGAAGCTCCTGGCCCTGCACTGACACCCCAACAATCCCAGCCTGGGGATTCCTGGGAGTGGTGTCCAAACACTCCTGGAGCTCTGGCAGCCCTGAGGCTCTGCCTGGAGAGTGCCAAGCACCCTCTGGGGAAAGAACCTTTTCTTGACACCCACCCTAAACCTCCTTTGATTAAAATAACATTAAACCTCCCTTGATTAACCTAACATTAAACCTCCCTTGATTAACTTAACATTAAACCTTCCCTGAACAAGAGATTTTCAGCTGCAGGGACCACCTCAACTCAGACATCAAGAGAAATCACTGGTTGGATATTCTAGACTCTTCCAATATTCAACTCATTGCAACAGAGTCTTGTCAAACAAACAAACAAACAAACAAACGAAACAAGAAATAAAAAGGGGAAAAAAGAAAAAGGAAACCATCAGTATAATAACAAACTGCCATCGACTCTTCTGATGTTTTTCAAGCCAAAGTTAGAAACAACATTAGAAATAATAAGCTTGTTCTGAAATGGAAGAATGTAAAACAAAGGCCACTGCCAAAGTTTTAAGTTACGCAACGTACACTTGAGAATTTCTTGTACAATGGGCTGACACTACAAACACCTCTGCTTCCAGTGGAGGAAAACACCAGTGTGAGTGCATTGTAGAGCCTTGAAAAGGCAATTTTAGTCCTTACACTTAACACCCAGCACACTTGTTTTGTAAGCACATAATTTATTACTCAGAATCTCGGAATCCCACACTGGTTTGGGCTAAAAGGGATTTTAAAGATTTCATTCCATCCCCTGAGACACTGTCTCGGGTTGTTCTAAGCCCTGTCCAACCTGGCCTTGGGATCCAGGGGCATCCACAGCTTCTCTGGGCACCTGTGCCAGGAGGAATTCCTGCCCAGGATCTCATCCATCCCTGCCCTCTGGCAGTGGGAAGCTATTCCCTCTGTCCTGGCACTCCAGGCTTTGGAAAGCCACAATGAGGTCATCCCCAAATTTCACTTCTCTCTAGATTCTTCCTCAAGGCCAACTCCAGGCAGGGTATGCCAGGGGAAAGGAAAAGGGCTGGGTATGTCAGGCACAAATCACCTCAGCACAAGGTGAGGAATTTTTCCTTCCCCTTGGGCAGACTCTGCCTTGGGAGATCTGCCAGGAGCCCTGGGAACAGAATTCCATTTCCTGGAGAAATGGAAATGCCTCAGCCTTGGGAAGCTCTGGAGCAGGATCCCCCAGAACAGAAAACCCCTGCAATGGAAGGACTCCAACTTCCAGGGATTCCCCTGCTGAATCACCTGGCACAAGGATATTCTAACACTTGATTAACAAAATCTTTATGTTTATTGGGAAAAATAGCAGGCTGTAACCAAACCCTCCAAAAATTTAGCATCTATGCAACTATATTTGTAATCCTTGCCATTTATCCTATTTTCCCTACCTGCTACTGCTGCTCTTGCTGATTATATCATGGAGATCATAAAAACAAATCCTCGAGGCAGGGCCACTTCCTGGTGTTTGGAAAAGCCCTGGCACTTCTCTCCAGCCACTGCATTTACATGCAGTTATCACCAGGCTGGTTTCTAACTCGTTTGGAAAAGTCCATCTTACTTTTCAGACCTTGCCTGAGCAGTGACAGGTGAGACACAACAAAACAACTGCTTCTAACAGGTAGGAAAAAATAGAAATCCCACCAGCAGAGACAAGCACAGCACATCCAGAGCCTCATCTCAAGAGAGACAAGACACCCAAACCCCTCTACTTTGTTACAGAAAAGAGACTAAAAATCTCCCCACTACTTTTCAGAAATGAACCCACTTCAAGTGAACACGGGAATTATCTTTCACCGCTGTTGAAACAACAAATTGGCACACTGTGAAAGAGCATTTTTCCCTGCTAGTGACCACAAAATAAAACCATTTCCAACACCAGACACTTCAGTATCAGAGGTTACACGGAAAAAACAGCAGAACACAGCGGTGCAGAGATGATGAAGCTTTTAAACACAGCCTAAATGTACCATGACTTGCAAATCACCCCACAGCCACATCACTCACTTGCTTTGAAGGACAGTGCTCGCTCTTCTCCTCTGTCATCTTCCCACTCTTGGGAGCCCTTCTTGGCTGCTTGATGCTGGTTTTTATGGCAGGCCTGCAGACATAATTCTCCAGGTTCTTGGGAGGTTTTTTTGTCCTCTTTGCTTGAAGGCCAATCTTCAGTTTGAGGTTTCCCTCGGAGAAGTTGGTTTCTTTCACCGAGAACTGCTGCTGCGCATCGCCCAGAGCCTCGCTCTTCCCGCTCTCCTCCCTGCTCTTCTTCCTCCCCTCCTCCTCCTCCTTGCTGCAGCCTTCGAGCTCTGCTTCCCCTTTGCCCACCAAGGTGCCAATGTTTACCACAGAGGGGCTTTTCCCAGAAAACCCTTCAGAATCAGAACCCAAGCCTAACATAGCAGTATTCCGAGGGTCCATCACAGGCGGAATATTTGCCTTCGGGTGATTTTAGGGAAGATTTACAGAGATATGTTCCTCAGGAGAGCTGTTCCACTATGGGCAGTCAACATCTTTCACTCTGTGGGAGGAAAAGACAGACAGCATAAACTTGGATTTTCTAGGAGACATTAAATTAATATTAACTAAAAGCAATCTTGAAATCTAAAACAAATATAGTAACAATAACACAGAAAACCAATATATAAAAATATAATGTATAATAATATATAAGTATATAATACATTAAACCAATTAGAATATATAGAAAATATATATATATAGAAAATATATATAGATTAGAAAGCAAACAATTGTACTATATAATTAGAAAGCAAACAACTGTATTTCAGACAAGCACAGCAGCTGATATTCCAAGACACCAACGCTTCCAGTCACCTCCTTCAAAATCACAATTAAGCTGTAAAACACTTTTAAATAGTGAATGAAAAATAAAAAGTATATGAATATTATAATTTCCAAATTATCCACATGACACTTCAAATGCTGGCTACAGATTTCAATGTTGATCATCAAAATAATTTTTTTATTTATAACCAGAGCCTGGTTAGTCCCTGCTCCTGGACCCGCTGGAAGAGCTGCATCTAAGGAAGGAGCAGGCAAATGAAACCCATGAGAAAGCATCCAAAGCCCAGCAATATTCTGGTTTTAATTATCTGAGCCACCAGGAAAGCTGAGCCTGAGCCACGTGTGCATCAGTTTACAAACACGCCACAAAATCCGCTTGTTAGTCAAGGACTTTGCACAATTGAGAAGAAGGATGGGAGAACAGATGCCAGCCCCACCAAACATTCACACACTGGTTTGTGCTTCCTGAAGCAGGGGAAGAGGGAAATCCACATTTCCATCAGCACAGACACTGTTAGGAATACAGAATTGGCCTATTTAGCAGAAAATAATAGAGGGGAACCTTTTCATCTTAACTACAGTAAATTAGAGTCAAGCTCTAAGTTTGTGAGGGTCCCCAGAACCTTGTGAAGCACTGCTCACCACAGAGACCCCGAGCTTCCCTCCCTGCCAAAACACAAACCAAACCTGTGCTCCTGGTAATTTTATCATGCTGACAAAAATCCCAAAATCCCAGAACTGTTTGGGCTGGGAGGGACCTTGAAGATCATCTCATCCCAGTGTGAGTGCATTGTAGAGCCTGGAAAAGGCAATTTTAGTCCTTACACGTAACATCCAGCACACTTGTTTTGTAAGCATATAATTTATTACTCAAAATCTCGGAATCTCAGACTGGCTTGGGCTAAAAGGGATTTTAAAGATTGCATTCCACCCCCTGCCATGGGCAGGGACACCTCCCACTATCCCAGGTTGCTCCAAGCCCTGTCCAACCTGGCCTGGAATCCTTCCAGGGATGGGGCAGCCAGGACCTCACCACAAAGCCATTCCCCCTGTCCTGTCTCCAAACATTTCTAAATTCTCTCTCCATCTTTCTTGCAGGCTCCCTTAAGGCACTGAAATTTTTTTTGTCGTGGGGGCATTATAAGGAGAAAATATTTAAATATCTTCAGCACTTAAATAGCTTCATCATTTTTGAAATGAAATGGATCAGAAACGGGCCTGAAAAAACACTGATTTGCTGAAAAGGTGCATCACAGGCACCAAACCAGCCTGAATCTCCTGTCCTTCTCTTCCCAAAAGTCATTAAGGCTGAATGTGAGGAATGGCATGGAAAGATGATCTCAAAATGAGTTTCCAACAAAGGTCTCAAGGATGCCAGCACCTTTCTGAGATGTTTGGCATCACAGGAGCACAGAGCACGTGGCAGGAGCCACAGCCCTCCTGGCCAGACAAAAATTGGGGAAGCAGCAGCAAGGAGCTGCTTTTGGGGTGGCTCAGGAGCGCAGGCATGGGAAGGGTTTGAAAGGATCAGGAATGTGAAAGGAGACACCAGAGAGCACCAAGGCAACTGCAGTGGACACAGGTTGGAGGACAGATGCCAGGATTAGTGGGGGCAGAAGAAATGCTGCTGGGAACACCAGATGCAGCCAGTCACAAAGCCAGGCTTCCCTGGCTACGTCCTCAGAGAAAACAAACTTATTTCCATGTGTTCTGTGCACGTTATTCATGGGGTTTCTAGCTGCTGCTCTGCCTGTCCAACTACACACATCCTCAGAAATCAAACCTGCTATTATTACCCATAAGACCAGAGGTAATTAGATAAAATCTTCATTTTACAAGGAGAAATAAAGGGTAGAGCAGTGTGACATGGACATAGAAAGTGAGCCAGTGGCACTGCCCACTGTTAAAGCCCAGCGTTAATGCAACAGGCTTCACCATGTCACTAAAAATGAGCTTTTTCATCAATGTGCAAGGAAAACTGGCCAGCAGGTAAATAATTCTGAGCTAAAGCCTGAATTTGTATTATTCAAGTCCAAGGAAAGGGACAATCCCACATGCCATCATGCACCTCTCAAATCTGTGCTCACACAACTGTTTCCTTTTCTACCGACTGGAATGCAGAGCAGTGACAATACTTCAGACATCTTCTTACAAATTAATTAATTAATCAGCTTCAAATAGCAAGACTCACACACTGACCTTTAGAAACTGCAAGACCCAAAGTGCACGGTGGGAATCAGAGCAAAGGAAAGGTGTTCACATCTTACTCCCAAAACAAAGTCACTAAATTGATGCCTCCCACAAACACAGAGCAGGTCATTTATTCATCCATTAATTGCTCTCAACAAAGACAACAAAAATGCTAATCCTGGCCCTAATCACCATTTTGCCTCCATCACAGTAATCTTCTCCCAACTCCCCACTAATTCACAGGATATGTGTCTGCCACTCAGATCTCATCTCCCTGAATCCCCATGTGCTGCTTCCTCCCTGCCTTATCAAGTTCAAGCTTCCTGTCACTGTCTCCAAGGTGTTCTCAAGTGTACCTTGGCTCTTGCCTTGCTCCTGTTCCTCGGAGCTGTTTCCCCAGTGATGCCACTGTTTGTTTTCTTTTCTTTTCTCACTTGACTTTCTCTGTGCTACTCCTCACTCGCTGCAGGATCTGTTCCACTCCTCCTGCAGGTTGTGCCTTAAAAACTTGTGGATGTCAAAGTAAACGAGCAACCAACTGGTGACAGCCACAGTTCAAAAAACCTGCACGAGTTCACCCTGAAAACTCTGATGTTTTGGGACTTTAAAGACAAAAAAAAATCATATTTAACCATGTGAGATAAAGTACTTATCCATGTCTCTGCTTTCCATGTTTGCTGCACGAAGTTCTGAATTATCCCACATCCATGGTGTCAGATTAAAGCATTATAATATATTGTAGTTAACTTCTGATGATAATTATAACATCTATATTGTCTCACCCTTCACATGAGACTGAAAAGAAAATCCAAGTTTTTAAAATGCTTCTCATTTGCCCCATCTCTAAGTCAGAAAAAGGTTTAATCTGACACATAGATTTAAGGTTAACAAAACTTTTGCTGCATTGAAAACCCCTGCATGGCCTCTCAAGTGATGAGCAAGGCATGTCCTCACCACTCCCTACGAAGCAAATCACATCAAACTCCCAGCCCCTCAGCCAGCAGCTTCTGCAGATCTCAAATCCCTCCTGAAATTGTTCATCCCCAAAAAAATTAACTACGAGGCTTTTTACCATCCATTTCTGACACGTGCCACCTGGAACTAAGCGGTGTTCATTAATGATTTCTCTAATGCCATACACATTTTTAATACCTGGTGTTCATCCTTATTCCCCTGGTGTCACATCCCAAGCCCTTCCTGCCCATCAGCAGCAAAGATTTCTGTTCTTCTGATCCTCTGCTTTCCCAGAAAGAAAACACCAAGGATTGATTCTACTGCCAGATCCCAGATATGTTTCCCCACACCCCCTCAGCAATATTAACTGAGATTTCCCCCTCTGTTCATTCCTGCTGCTGCTTTTCTCCATGAAAACACACTGTCATGTCATATTTGGAAGGTGAATATTTTTCTTTTGGCTCTTTTCATTGCTTCAGCTCCAAGGGACATTAAAACCAATTCAGCTAAGTGTTAGAAATCCCAGAATATTACTACTAACTCTATGGCCTCCCACAGTCCCCTCTCAAATTCCATGTCTTCTTTTATTTGCTAAGGAAGACAGACCACACTCAGAAAAAAGAAATAAAAAGTGGCTTAAAGCCTCACTTAAAGTATTTCTTTATATCACAATCCCTGAACAGGAGAAACAGGAGCTCAAGGGCCTTGAATCACCTGCACAAGCATCTTTAAAATGTTTAGAGATGGACACATTTCCCAGGAATAAAGTTCCTGTTTGCTTTACAGGAGGTAACAAATAAAACACTTTCCAATCAGAATCTGCTGGGTTTTTCTTCTGACAGACAGAAATCCCAGGGGATTTCTTGTCAGGAAGAATATTCCACACAAGTGCTGGGAGCAGAGGCCAGGCTCAGGGAAAGCACCTGGAAGAGGACACAGATTTTGTGGGAAGAAAGGCAGCAGAGGACAGACATGGTAAAACACTCTCCAGTGGGAGGAGGAAAATTGGGAAGCAGAAATAGATTCTTCTCCTGGTTTTTAACCTGACTGCAGGTCTGGAATCACCTCCTGAATTTGGAGGTGCAGGCTAATTCTGTCGGTTGCCTATTCATATGCAAATAAAGGCAAAATTGCTAAAATCTGCATAACCAAGTCTGGAGCAAAGGTTCCTCCAGCCTTAGGCTGCGAGTGCCAACATCAGCCAAGGCTGACTGCTGAGGGAAGAGCAGTTTGGGAATTCTCCTAAAATATTATCCCATCTGCTACAGGGTGAGTCAGGAGCTCCCTGAGAGGTCTCCACATCCAGTGCCTTCCAGGGGATTTTTCTGGACAAAAGCCATTTTATATCCATCTAGTAAAAGATAAAGGTCACAGCAAGCCAGCACTTCCCCTTTAATTCCTTTAAATCCTTTGGTTATTCCCAACCCACCCCAAGGCAGAATGGGCACACCTGTGCCACAGGTAAGGGACACAAAACCAGGGACAAACACAGATTTTGCTTTCACAGAACAAACACAGTAGGTCTCGTGACAGATTTTTTTTTTCCCTTTGCAAGCTGGAGATGGGACTCATGACCTCACTGGTCCACAACAGCACCAGCCCTTGCAACAGCAGCAGAAATGAATTTAATTTTAAAATAGCCAACAATCCCATAGAAAACAATATTTATTTTAATATACCATTAATTCAGTAACTACATGTGCTGTTGCCACTTTTCTTTTGTAACAACAGCACTGCCATTTTTACCAATATGTCTGTCTCTTGCACCAAGGAAAAAAAACTGCTTTTTGTATCCTCCAGGACAGTTTAAACTTTTAAAAACAACTAGGAAAAAAAAAAAAAAAAAAAAGCTTCTTCTGGAAACTGTAACTCAAATTTTGTCACTGGTTATTATCACTCAAACCTTTTTAGGCGACTGCCTGTAGCAAAGAATTCAAGTCCAAAAAGAAGTTGTGGTAATTTTGTCTTTTAAACCAAGATGTTTCACACTTAAAACTGTTTAAAAAAAAGTCTCTCTTTTATACTCTCAGACAGCTGAGAAAAGCTTTGGGTAAGAACACTTCTTAAGAACTCAAGCAGGCAGACAGATGATGATTTTAGAGCCCATCTCTCCCCATATGTTCAAGCAGCTGCCAGAATTTCCCCGTTTCCCACAGAGGCACCAGGGATGATCCCAAGGTCCTCAAGGATGACCACAAATCTTACAGGATTCACCCCAAAACCCCAACACCCCTGGAAAACAAGTGCAGGTGCAACCTGAATTACTTAGCAATGAGAACAGCCAAAACAAAGTAGGAGAGAAGGTCCTGAAAATGAAAAGTGAGATTTCAAGGGATGAAGGTGAAGGCACAGGTTCTGTCCCTGCTCCCAGAGCTCCCAGAGCTCCAGTTTCCCTGCCTGGCTCCTGACACCACACAGCTGGCAGCAGAGTGAATTCGTGTCCCGAGGCCATCGGATGGAAACCCACATTCCACGCAGCTCCCAATTCTCTGCCCCATAATTAACAGGGTGAAGAACCACAAACCAGGAGTTAGGAACTGGGGAGACCATGGAAGAGAGGGACAAGGATGGGAACACATTTTGGATTTTTGATGGGAGAGCTTGGTAATGCCATAGTTCAACCACCCAAACTCAAATTGACCATCAATAAAGCTAAAATAGGATTAAAACCACCATGAAACAATAAATAAAACTGACTAAAACTTCAGAAGTATGAATTGGAGAAGGAAGATCACCAATGTACAAGACACTAATCCAAAAACCAACCAATATCCCAAAACCCAAAAAAAAAAACCACACCAATATTCAGCAGGGAGACCCCCGGCTCCATCCCCCGCGTGTCACCCGGGGAAACACCGAACTTGGGGGATGCGCAGCTCCGCTCCGTGGGGATGCGGGGGCCTGGAGGGGCTCCCGGGGCCGCTGTCAGACGCCGCCCCGGCCCCGGTACCGAGCGCGGCTCTCCCGCTCCCGCACCCCCGGGGGCTGCCCCGGCCCCGGGCCCGCCGCTGTCAGCGGGCCCCGCCGCCAGCGGGGATCCCCCGCCCTTCGCCGCGATCCCTGTCAGGGACCCCCGGTGCCTCGCGGTGCCTCCCGGTCTGTCAGGGACTCCCCGGTTGTCACGGACCCGCCGCCCCGCTCCCCGTCCGCTTCCACGCCGCGCTCCGGGCCCTACCGGGGATCCCCCCCCGCCGCCCCCGGGGATCCCCCGCCGTCTCCGGGGATCCCCCAGCGGCCGCCACCGCGCCCGGAGCGGGGATGCGGCGCGGGGGGGATACCGGGGGGGATACGGGCGGGGTGCGAGGCGGCCCCGCCGAGGATCCCAGCGCGCCTCCCCTCCCCCCGGGCCGCGGGCCTGAGGCGGTCCCACTCCCCCGCCCGCTCCTCACCGTGTCAGCGGCAGCGCGGCCGGGGCCGAGCACGGGCTGCTCCGCGCCGCATCCCCGCGGCCGCCCGGGCGCGGACGGGGCCGGGGAGGGACCGGGACCGAGCGGCCGCCGCGGCGGGGCCTGAGCCGAGCGAGGCGGCGGAACCAAAATGGCGGCGGCTCCTGCTCCGCCGCGAGCGAGCGCACGGACACGCCCCCTCCGCTGGCCACGCCCCTCCGCGCCCGGACACGCCCCCTCCGCGCGGCCACACCCCCGCGGGCAGAGGGCGCGGTGGCCACGCCCATTCATTGGCCACGCCCAACACTTGACCACGCCCATTTTGTATAAACCACGCCCATCGCTGCCCAGGCCACGCCCACCGGGAAAAGGAAAGGAGAGTGAAGGAAAAGAGGATTTTTTGCCCCAAACTGATGCGGGTGGTGTTTTTCACCCACAAAGCCGTCTTTCCTTAAGTGTTGGAACTCAAAATGTCCCTCAGGCATTTTTGAAGATTCCAGGCCCAGGTCAGAAGCATTTGAGACCCTGGCAGACAGCTGGAAACAGCTGTCATTTTGACTTTGAGCCATAAAATGATTTACCAACTTTGAAGGTGCGCAAGAAGTCACAAAAATTTAGATATTATACTACAATAGTTACAAAGTAGAGGGAAGAATTTTTAGTATTTTACAAGCGAGTTTTAACACCTGTACAGGGGCGTTTTTACTTTGTACATAAGGGTCAGAGGTTTTAAGATGGAGGAATGTAGGCCCGTCCTATTTCTCCTCTTTCTTCTTCCTTACCTCCATGTTCTTGATAATGTTGGCACTTCTGGATTAGTTTAGAGTAGAAAATCACCATTCAATATAGGTAGTAGGTATTGGGGAAAAACTGTAAATATTTAACACTTAATGTACCATATAAAAAATAGCAGCAGCCATTTTTAATGGGTTTTATTTAGGGCGGGGGGAGAGAAGAAGAAGTCAAGGGACAGAGCCCTTTTAGCGATGTTGTTGTCCCCACTAGACTTCCTCCAACAGTTCCATATTTTTGGTATTTTGGGAATGATGCTCGCAGTATCTGATGGGAATTACTACAGCCATTTGTAATTGCTGTTAATTAGTGTTTTAAAACATTGTCTGCCAGAAATAGAAATTAATTAAAATATTGTATTACAGCAATATGTATATAGAAAACCCAAATGAACAAAAATCCCTGGACTCATGGCAAAAAGAAATGTGAAGTCTTTGCAGAATTAGAGATTTAAGTTGTCAATACCTGAAAACCTGGCAATGAAACCATGAACAGCAAATTGCTCTTGCACACCATGCATGCAAAATTCAATACTGAGGGTCCAGATGACTCCTCAGAAATAAAAAACAGGCTGTCCTGGAGCCAACAAAATACTGGGGGCATCAGGAAGAGCATTCCCAGCAGGTCAGGGAGCGATCCAGGGAGTGCTGAACCTCTGGAGTGCCGTGTCCAGCTCTGGGAGCCTCAGCACAGCAGGGCCAGGGAGCTCCTGGAGGGGGACAGAGATGCTGAAGGGCTTTGGAGGGTCCCTGCCCAGGAAAGGCTGAGGGAGCTGGGGCTGCTCAGCCTGGAGAGGAGCCCCAGCTGAGAGGGGCCTCAGCCCTGGCTGTCCCTGGGTGTCCCTGAGCATCCCTGGGGGTCCATGGGTGTCCCTGGGTGTCTCTGTGTGTCCCTGGGTGTCCCTGGGTGTCTCTGGATTTCTGTGGGTGTCCCTGGGTATCTCTGAGTGCCTGGCTGTCCCTGGGTGTCCTCAGATGTCCCTGTATATCCTCAGGTGTCCCTGTGTGTCCCTGCATGTCCCTGGGTGTCTCTGGGTTTCCATGGCTGTCCCTGTCTGTCCCTGGGTGTCCCTGTCTGTTCCTGTGTGTCTCTGGATTTCCATGGGTGTCCCTCTCTGTCCCTGTCTGTCCCTTTCTGTCCCTATCCATCCCAGTCTGTCCCTGTGTGTCACTGTCCATCCCTGTCCATCCCAGTCTGTCCCTGGCTGTCCCTGTCCATCCCTGGCTGTCCCTGTCCATCCCAGTCTGTCCCTGGCTGTCCCTGTGTGTCCCTGTCCATCCCTGGCTGTCCCTGTGTGTCCCAGTCTGTCCCTGTCCATCCCTGTGTGTCCCTGTCCATCCCAGTCTGTCCCTGTGTGTCCCAGTCTGTCCCTGTATGTCCCAGTCTGTCCCTGTCCATCCCAGTCTGTCCCTGTCCATCCCAGTCTGTTCCTGTCCGTCCCTGTCCCTCCCTGTCCATCCCAGTCTGTCCCAGTCCATCCCAGTCCATCCCAGTCTGTCCCAGTCTGTCCCTGTGTCCCCCAGGCTCTGCTCCAGCCCCAGCCATGGCCCCAGAGCCCCGGGCAGGGCTGAGCCCAGGAGCTGCCCCTGCCCAGGAGGCAGAACTGCTGCCCTGAGCAGTGCCAGCCCTGACAGAGCCCAGCGAGGCTGTGGAGCCTCCAGAGCCGCCTGGCCACCATCCTGTGCCCCGTGCCCTGGGGTGGCCCTGCCTGCACAGGGCGGTGCCACCAGATGTGCCACCAGATGTGCCACCAGATGTGCCACCAGATGTGCCACCAGGCGCGACCCACAGCCACCCTCCCAACCCCACCCACCCCATCGCTCCGATTCATTCACCCACTTCTTCAAACCTGCCCACAAACCCCTTCCCGCGCCGCGCCGAATTAATTAAAACAAATTAACGCGGCTCGCCCGGGCGCCGAGGCCACGCCCATTTCCCCGCCCACAGCGGCCACGCCCTCTTTGGCCACGCCCCCAAATGTCCCTCAGCGGCTCCCGTAGCGTTCGCGGCGGCGGTACCGGCGGCACCGGCCCCGGTGAGTGCGGGGCCACCGCGGCTCTTTCGGGGCTACCGCCGCTCCTTCGGGGCCACGGCCGCGCCCTCCCGCTCCCTCCAAGCGTCCGCGCCGCTCCGGCCCCCGCTGTGACCGGGAATAGGGCGGGGAGCACGTGGGGGGTACCGGGGGGGGCACCGGGCCGCGCTCGGTGCGGGTTGGTTTTGGTTAATGTGGGGAACCGAGGCGTTCCGGGGGGTGGGAATGCGGTTTTGGGGTTGTCTGAGTGGGTTTTGGTGCGTTGGGGTTCTGGGTTTTGGGGTTCTGAGTTTTGGGATTCGGGATTCTGAAATTTTGGGGTTCTGAAATTTTGGGGTTCTGAATTGTGGGGTTCTGAATTTTGGGATTCTGAGATTCTGAATTTTTGGGGTTCTGAATTTTTGGGGTTCTGAATTTTTGGGGTTCTGAATCCTGGGATTCAGGGATTTTGGGGTTCTGAATTTTGGGATTCTAAGATTCTGCATTTTTGGGGTTCTGAATTTTGGGATTCTGAGATTCTGAATTTTTGGGGTTCTGAATTTTTGGGGTTCTGAATTTTTGGGGTTCTGAATTTTGGGATTCTGAACTTTGAGATTCTGGATTCTGGGATTCTGAATTCTGGGATTCTGACAGGATGCTCAAAATTAAGGGCGGGTTTTAAAAGAAAGTCAGCAACAAAATAAAAAAAAAAAAAACAACAGGAGGTTTAAAAATATTAACATAATTCAGTTTTTGTGATTCTTTAATTTTCTTAGTTGTGAATTGGAAAGAGGCTTTTCCGTCCCTGCTTTCTTGTCAGCTAAAACTGAAATAAAGCATTTTTAAAAGGAGTCAGCAGCAAAATTAAAAAAAAAATCAACAGGAAGTTTAAAAATACTGACATAATTCAGTTTTTGTGACCCCTTAATTTTAATTTTCCTTGTTGTAAAGGGGAAAGAGGCTTTCCCATCCCTGTTTTCTTTGCAGCTAAAGCTGATGTGAAACCAGCGGGATGTGGAGCAGGATTTTTCCTTGAAAAGCGTGTAAAATGAGCAAAAATCAGCAAAAATCCCTCTGCAGGATGAAATTTTCACTGAAATAGGGAGATGGGGGGGTTGTTTTCCCCGTGATTTTTTTAGCTGAAGGATTAAAAACCCCTTGAAGTGTTCCCACCCTCCCCTGTGGGGTTTTTTCCCTGCACTAACAGGTGGAAATTCTGTTTTCTGCAGGTTTTGCTCACCACTTCCACCGAGGTGCAGCTCCTTCCTCCGGAGGAATTCAGGTAATTAATTAATTAACACTCCCTTGGAATGCAAATTACTGCACCCAAAGCATCTTTCTTAGGCAATATCAGCATTTTCTCCTCGGGAAATTCTGGGGAAAAGCCCTTGGATGCAGCAGAGGTGGCAGAAAAAATCAATGTATTCCACTCTTTGCTTTTTTTTTGGGGTTTTTCTTCCAAGCTGGGGTGCTTTTTTTGGGATTTTCCTCCCTTAATATAAGGGGTTTAAATTTTTTTTGAAATTGTATTTTCCATTAAATTAGTCCATAAAATTTTAAATTTATTTATTTATTTATTTTCCATTAAACTATTCCATTAAAATTTTAAATTTTTTTAGTTTCTTTATTTTACATTAAACCAGTCCATTAAAATTTTACATTTATTTATTTATTTATTTTCCAATAAACAATTCCATTAAAACTTTACATTTATTTATTTATTTATTTTCCAATAAACAATTCCATTAAAATTTGAATTTTTTTTATTTATTTCTTTTCCATTGAACTATTCCATTAAAATTTTACATTTATTTATTTGTTTATTTTCCAATAAACAATCCCATTAAAATTTGAAATTTTTTATTTCTTTCTTTTCCATTAAACTATTCCATTACAATTTTACATTTCTTTATTTCTTTATTTTCCATTAAACTATCCCATTAAAAAGTTAAATATTTTGATTTCTTTATTTTCCATTAAGCTATTCCATTAAAATTTTAAAATTTCTTATTTATTTCTTTTCCATTAAACTATTCCATTAAAATTTTAAAATTTCTTATTTATTTCTTTTCCATTAAACTATTCCATTAAAATTTTAAAATTTCTTATTTATTTCTTTTCCATTAAACTATTGCATTAAAATTTTAATGTTTTTAAATTTAAAAATGATTTTAATTTTAAGTTTTTTTAAATTAATTTTTTTATTTAAAACTATTTGTGATTTTTATTTTTAATGGCATGGGTTTTGTATTATTATTGCTATTATTATTATTAATAATAATAATAATATAATAATAATATATACTTTATATATTTATTATTATTATTATTATTATTATTATTATTATTATTATTATTATTATTA